GGTCAAATTTTGGTAAAATGTATCTTGCCTCGAATATAAGTCATTCACTGATGATTGGATTTTCACATAACCTGGCAAAAATGTTCACTTTTACCAGATGTCTTGGGAATCACACAGATTCTCGCTTCAAGGTCAATGTCACACTTAGAGGTCAAGGGTCAAATGTTTGTAAAACATTTTGTTTACGGAGTAAATGATGATGGGATGTTCAATTAGCCTAGCCAAATTTCCAATATAAATAGACGATGTGTTGCACGCCCAGGTCCCCCTTTCTATGGCTAAGGTCTCAGAGGCCAATTGTCAAATTGTGGTGCATTTTTGTGTGTGTCATGTTGGCACGGCATCATGGGCAGTAGTATGTTTCACATTGGCATGCAACTTCCTCAATGAGGCACATGCAAAGGGTTTTTGGTTGCAAAGGAAAAGGCCTCAAAGATTTCACTTTTATTTCTGAAACCAATTGTTTCATTTTTTAAACTATAGAAGGAACACATAAACAAAGCAGGGGTGTTCGAAAATTATTGCCACATTACCTATTTCTGGAAAACCAATACAGATATTATAAAGATTTGTTTTGCACATTAAAGAATGTTCTTTCTGTTTTAGACTACGTATTTTTTCTCTTTCTGAAATCTTGAAGATAACCATTCGATTTTTTGTCCAGTATATGAACCATATCCACTACTAATATTAATTGCTGATATGCATCTTGCATTGATTTTCGCAATATTAAATGGTTGTAAAACACGAAGATATATGAATATGACCGTGTATACCCGTACTATACCGTGTCTGCCATGTGTGATTCGTACTTGAACCTTATTGGTCGTATGGCGATCGTATGAAAGCGTGTGTGCATTCGAGTTAATCATAGTTACCGTGATCGTGTGTCATTCAGACGTTAATCGGGTGTTGGATGTTGGACTTGGGGACGGTCTCGAACGATTCCATACGATTTATATACAATCTTGGCACGGTTGGGTTCACTCGAGTGTATACGATTGTATATACGGTCTCGTACGGTCTCACACAGTCTCTTTCGGTCGTTTATACGATCATACACGGACATTTCATCCGTACCAGTTTTTTTAAAGTTTTAAAAATCATACACAGCTTTCACGAATAGCCCAAGTGTAACTCAGTTAAACTCACGGTAATTTCGGTTGTATGTACGGTTTACACGGGTGGTCAACCGTTTAAACCGTGTGTTCTGTGTAAGATGGACTTATTTCTTATTCCCAGTAACGTCGACCGACGAGAGATATTTACATGTTGGGTTTATGCATTTGATGCATTTGTCGAAATTCAAAAATATATATAAAAATATCAACTTGCTAATCTATTGTGACCTTTGTAGTTATCTTACTGGTATTTTGGACTTTCTACCTTCAAGTCTTCCATAAAATAATATTTTATTAATGAAAGAGAAAGTGAACAGTCTTCCATCAGATAAAACATATTATACTTATAAAGTAAAAGAAAACAATGCCAGTAATAATCAGTCTAATGGGATTAAAATCTATGTTAGAATTCAGTGTTGTGCGGTGCTCCAATATTCATGTCAGTAGGACTTCTTCCACCACATATGTCCAAAAATTTACAGTAGAAACACACTCTTTGGTGTGGAACTTTAATTGATACTTTACCATTATTACGGGCTCGTCAAGTCATAGCAATACACATCGTCGTTATAGGCCATGCTTCTGTGACAAGTTAGAGTCATGTTGTGGTCGACACAATCTTTTATAAACACTATTTTTTTCAAAATATGTAATGTTTTGCGAATTGTGTTGTGCTAGATTAACGATGTACTGTTTCAAAAATTCGATGCAATAAGTTTTAAAAGTTGGAATAAGTTTGCAATGTCTATCAGTAAGATAAGCTATAAGCTATTTCCTACACTTTCGTTGTACAATGGCTACTTGAATTGATCACTCCCTTTCCTTCGGGGAAGTAAACATGCAAGTCATTTAACTCGCTCTTAGAAGAAAGTCAGGAGGGAGCTGAGGGGGCCTGCCTTAATACCAACACGGTTTTCTCTGGTAGGTTCTGCTGCTCATCGTGACCTTTCCGATGGTTCAATTTCATTTAATACAAGCTCGTGATAATGGCAAAGCATATAAGGGTGCTATTTAAATACGTACATGAAGGCTAGTCTGTACTCTGCTTTATTTAAATTTAAACGTAAAAAAAGAACATGTCTATTATATAGATGTGACTATAAGAATTGTTATAGGATAGGGAAATTCCAACACGAGCCTTGGCGATAGAACCGAGTGTCCTAGGTTTGGAATATTCTAAAATTATTATAACCTGATAATTGTTTATTCTTCTCACTCCCCTGGATACATAAGAAACTGGAAATATAAGAAACTAACAACTTTTAATATGCATTACAACTTTTCTGGAGAAGCAAGGCGGGACTTCAAAGTTCACAAAAAACATTTTACATTTGCCAAGATTTTCTACTGACACAATTAATTGATAACATATTCAATGATAATGAATTCAAATGAGATTCGCCATCAAGCAGCGGGGGTATCATTACAAAAACTTGACTGTTTACGTCGAATAAATGTCATAACATTAGTGTTTGTGAAAACTTAAGTCCATACTTCAATGGATGACGATACATAATAATGCTTTGCAAGTCGAATTTGAGATAAGACCGTGTGATTTGAGATAAAAAATAAAGTTTATACTTAAACTGAAATATGATACTAAATAGTATACTAAAAATGATGTTCCATTTAGATCATTCAAATATAAATGGGTAGGTACACCCAAGAGAGATGTAACTTACTTTTATTTTGGATGGAATATAGACACTTGTTTCATTAAAACTTAAAAGCAGGCATTGATTTTGTTTGTCATATCCATTAATAAACCACAATCACATTATCTATATGTTGCTTTTATCATATATTTTTTACACCTTATAAAAACAAAACAAAAATCTGCACCACGCGATGTTCCAATAGAATATCATTATTGGATTCAATCTTATCAATTAAACATCGTTCTAATTCTTAAAGTCTGAAAAATCCATACCAAATGCAGATCCTCGAGTCCAAAAAATCTTAACCTAACGCATTTCGTACTGCATCTAGCATTATATTCTTTTTTCAGAGTAAAAATTCCATATTAAATCCTTCTAAAACTGGAAACAGTCTCTGTCAAAATGTCAAAAAATAGTGGTTAGCTGAAAAGAGGTCATTATACATTGCTGAGAACCACACTTACTCTAGTGGAGTCTTACTCAGCTGCAGAAACTACATCAGACTCGGCTCTTGTCCAATATTGATTTGACAACTGTGAAATTGTCCTATAGAAATCAGTATTGTTTTCGACAATTGATAATAGAACCTCATAAAACCACTAGCATAAGCTTGTACTGCATATGAAGTACATTTGTATAAAACAATATGACATTTAGAGTGATCCGAAGTTGAAGTACCACAAACAAGCTGTACGTATCTCGAGTATATTTATATATCTTTTAATTCTACCTAATACCGTTTACAATATATATGTATATAAATGACAATAATCAACACACAAGAAACTACATTAAGCAATAAGGTAATGTTCATTTGATGCGTTTTTCTCTTGCTATGAACATGCTTTTTTCTTTAAAGTAGAATAAAACTAAATTTTGTCAATCTGATTAAAATAGAATTTGTTCTTTCAAGAAACATTTTCAATTATTGAATCAATAAAATAGTTACTAGTTTTTTTCATATTGAATCATGATAACCATATATTTTGTTCTTTCAAGAAGACATCAAGTAAATATTTACTCTTTTCATATTAAATCATGTGAAACATGCATGTTCAATTATTTTAAATAATAGATTCACAGCTAGGTGTAAACAAATTTCAATGCACATTTTATATGAAAATAAGAGCATATGTTAAAATAAAATTGTCCTTTTTCTAAAGGTGCATGTTAACAAAGGTTTAGATATGAAATGATAGAAAGTTAAATGTCATGCATTTTAACAATGTTACAAGAATAATCACCCACTCACGCACCCACCAACGCACACACACGAACGCAGACACAAAAAATAAAAAAAAGATACGTACGGATTTAAGTCACAGTAATTCTTAAATCGGAATATTCTTAATAATGCTGTTGTTATATGATAAGTATAGACAAGAAAATAAGCAGATTTGTTTATTTGTGACATGATTTGTGGCTGGTTTTTTTCCAATTAATAGTGGATTATTTTGTTTCAAGGCTGACTTTACTTTGTGAGTAGTTTTCATATTTATCCGCGTCATTTTGGATTCACCAAAATTCATGAAAATATAACATGAGTGCACATGTCTTTATCTATGAATGGCAACTAGTTAAAATAAATATATCGCAAATAAGATAGTAACGACTGTCATTAGTACAAATTTAAAGGAAATAAGAGTAACAAATGTCTTTGATTCTCCATTGAATCTCTAGAGTTCAAGTTGGAGCATGTTTTGTTCAATTTCGTATGTAAGTTGACCGATCCTTGACTGCCTTTCTGGGTCATCCATCAGGTCAACAGGTGTTGATAGAAATTTATATACCATCCTTGTATCTTGGTCTGTTTGCCTAGCATATTCTCTACAGATTGCTCGAAAATTTTCCCCATTCCTAAAAAAATACCTCATAAAAATGATTTTATAATAAGAATTAATAATAATTATTTGGCTGTTTTGAATATTTTAACAGACTCAAAAATAACTGTGCTTGATAAAATAAATTAATTACGCTTAGAGTAAAAATGCAAAAGTTCTACTTTGACTTTTTGCTATATCTTGAGATGGACTCCCATTTGTCTGAATTCTAAAAAAATCATATATGTTTATAATGACACTGGATTGCTCTTATTTTTCAACTTTTATTAATGATTGACGGTTGCATGTATTATGTCAGTGAGAATATCTTAAATTAATGCAGAAAATAGATCATTTTTTTTAAATATCAACTGCATAGTTTTATAAAAAATATATATTACTGCTTCTGCTTTTGAAATCGTATCTTCAAACATTCTGGCGTACTGCTTTGTCTTTAATGCGTTCAGAAAACTTTTGCCCGCTCCAGTTTTGTAATAGAGCCTTTTCAGGAAAACTGACATGTTGTCCCAAAACAGTATTATTTCATTAAACATTTTATCTACTTGTGACAACAGTTTCAGAGCCTCCAATAGACCTTTTACGTCGCCCATGGTTGCTGAAATAAAAAAAGAGAACATTGGTTTATAAGCGCTCACCTGAGAACAAAAACGTTCTACCGACTTCAAAATAAATAAGGGTCGTCATGACTCATCTCGCAACAGGACCAATTTTATCCCCAGTGCTACAACAAAAATGTAAGAATAAACTATAAACACACTTATAAAACATGAAATACATGCACATATGTCCTCCTTATCTAGCTATGTCAATCTATTAAATATATATATATACCGATGCCAATGCTTTCTGGAATAAAACTGCTTGACCTACAATGCCTACAATGCATACAGAGGTTCGGCTGTCCGGCTGGTTCGACCGAAGACAATCCATTCAAAAATAACAGTTAAAATAATAGCAAGAACAAGCAATATTTGGACATTTGACATTGAAGGTCAGTGTCATTTATGGACGAAGGCCAAGGTTGGCGTGGTCTATTAAAAGGTATTGTCCCAAAGGTTGTTGTTGTGGCCAAGGATGAAGACAATACACCAAGAACATAAAAAAGTCATGATCAAGGGACAAATTTGCGGACGGCAACGCCGCCAGGACTATTACAATACCTCCCCTTTTTTTTAAAGTCGAGCTAAAAACAAAACTTTTAATTCAGATATTTCAACATAACTGTTTAACTTCAACATAACTGTTTAACCGGCATTGGGCTGTAGCGATTCCGTGAAGTACGGGGACAAACCGTGGTGAACCGGAACAAACCGGGAGATCACTACAGTTGAATTAAAATGTTTACTACAACCAGGGCTCACAGGCACTCACCGGGAGGTAAGCTAAAAATAGTGTTCTATCGGCTTGGCACCGGGAAACGCCGGGGAACTCCGTATTTATACCGCATTCATACCGTGACAAACCGTAGTAAACAGGGTTGCGTGTTAACCAATGTCCACATGGCAAAGCCCCGGTGATGAGACGATGTCACCACAGTAAAAAACAGCTCAGGTAGAAAATTAGTACATTGCTGTTATTGACGACACTGCTTCGGTTGGACCCTTTAATGTCCCGTATATTGCTGGCAAGTCCCGGTTATACAACGGCAATACATGGTGACGTCACCACTCCATGTCGATGACACGCAATTTAAAGAACATGAATATATACACTTGAAGTGCTACTTTGGATCATTTTGTTAAAAATTCGTTTGATTCAAGCTAGTCAGCTATGGCCTCCTCCTGCTCATCTGTGAGAAGAAGAGGGACCCGTCTCTGCTTTTTCTTCTGAGGTGAGCTTTTCTAACAGTCCGGCTGGTGGTCGGGTTGGACCTTGTCCAGTTGGGTTTCCACTGGGATCAACCGGAAATACACAAGGTTAGCGTTGGCACTTATTGTATATACCCGGTGCTGTATTACTGAACTGAACCGGGAATACACCTGGGCTCTGTCGGGGATGTGTAATCGCAATTTAATTTTTCAGTAAAACGACAACGGCACAACCCGGTTCCACTGGCTTAAGACACCGTATCGATACCATGGCCATTACCGGGACAGTGTAAATGGGGCTTTATGCTACACAACACAACACTATACTATGATACAATATAACTTGTCGACTTAACGCAATTTCATAGATGATTATATTAACAGAAAATATGATACATATAGCTAAATAAGAGAGAAAATGGAAGCTAGAAAAAAGGAGGTTGAGCTAATAGAGAAATTGTATATTTTATGACTTACTGTTAAATCACTGCCAAAATAAGTCAAATGTTTTTAATTTTTCTGTTCATGGCAATTTCTTTTGGTTCTCAGTTTTTTCTTCATTTTAAGGGATGTAACTCATGTTTACTAATTTGTTTGTTCTTATCTGTCTACCTTAGTCATTATGTATATAAACATAAAAATATATCTTTTATATTTAAATAAATTGAATAGAATAAGATGGAAAATTTACCAGTTTAAGAAGTTCATCAAATAGATGGAGGTCCAGGAATGATGAATATGCATAGAAATATTATTTGTAGACTGGCTTGATTTACCTTATAAACTTGGTTCTTCTAGTTGCTGCGTCTAGGAATTTTATATTTATTCATTCAAACCGAGATTATCAGTTAAGATTTCAACATTAAGATCTTCAGGACTCAGGAAAATAAAATACTATTTATGTCAAATCAAAGCCATGATGCTTGAAAACTGATCTGATGATGTTCAACACAATCTAAATATTTTATTGAAAATAAATCAAATGTACCTGATGGTGATGAAAGTCATATTTCACTTAAATTCCATAGACAATGTAAATACCTATATTGGTTTGTTGATAAGAAAATAGTTGACTACAAATATTTATCACTCACAGACATTATGCTTGCCCGTGGCTAAATGATTCAAAATATAAACTGAACCATTCATGGGACTTTACATCAGAAAAGAAAAGCCGAAGATGAATGAATAAATTTATATATTTAAGTTATATTATTTCAAATTTTAACATAACTTGGTAAATTTCAAAACATCAACAAACATATGTTAAGAAAGAACTATTTAAAATGATTTTTTAATTCTTAAGTGTAATTATGTTTCTTCATAAGACATTATTTATTTTAATGACTTTGATTTGTTAAAAATCTGAGTTTTGTTAGTAAGATATAATTCTTTACAGTTTTTAAAGGTTTTAAATACATAGTATTTGTATCTAATTAGTAGGATAATGTCATGGTTCATAACTGTTCACTGTTTAGGGGAGAAAATGTGTAAGTGGCCAATAACTCAGTCGGTCGAATAAGGTAGAGTTCTTTGAGGGTCCCGGATTCGAATCCCAGTCAGGCTGCACATTTTTTCTCACCCTGTTACAATTGGCACCCAACTTGTTGCCTTGACTGCATATAGCTAAGAGCTCAATTCACATAGTTCTGTATTACCCTTTGAAATTTGAGGACAAACTTCAATATAGCGGAGAAGTAATTATCACTATCTAGAGGAGTTGATGTGTAAGCAGCTTAATAGCTCAGTCGGTAGAGCTGTAGTAAGGTATTCTAACTGTCCTGGGTTTGAGTCTTGGTCAGGCTGCACATTGTTCTCACACTGTTACATAATTACCAATTGGTAAGACTTAAGAATCTTGTGATAATTCTAAATATAATATATTAAATCAAACTGGACTAAAATTATTAAGTTTTTATATGTATTAAACATTTTTAATCTTGCTGCATATAATTATACAAATTGATTAACTTGTATGAGAGATATTGGTGACAATGAAAACACTATAAAAGACTGTTCCTGTATATATAGAAAACAACTATTGAATTATAGAAATTAAATGTTTACAGAATGATGTGGATCCAAGATTTTCACCAGAGGGGTATAAAACATATTTAAGTGTGTAGATTTATTTGGTACCGTTGGCCTAGAGGTTAAGGTGTCTGCCTTCAGATCGTAAGGTATAAGGTTCAAAACCCCAGGGGGAGCGTAATTGAATGTTTATCGTGGGACTCGTTCCAAAATGGCCGCTTCTTGAGCTGCTAGGTAGTTAAAACGAATGGTAACAAATTTCTATCCGCCTGGCACCTAACATAGTGGTAGGAATTGGGAGGTACATGGTGTGCAAGCATAAGGTGTCTCATAAGTCCGAAATGGCTGGCCCTTTCAATAGTGGTGACACTATTATAAACAAGTCCTTTCCCCTTTACCTTTTATTTGGTATTTAACGTGTTTTCAAAAAAGGCAAACTTGTCCTTGATGTAATATTATATTTACTGTGTCACGGTTCAGGGGAGAAGATGTGTAAGCCCTTCGATAGGTCAGTCTGTAAGAGCTGCGGAACGGTATTCTGAGGGTCCTAGGTTCGAGTCCCTGTCAGGCTGCACATTCTTCTCAACCTGTAACATTTGGTGCCCAACTTGGGGCTGTGACTGAATATAGCTCAGAGTTAAATTCACATTGCTTTGCAATTTTGAGGATCAATTTCAATATAGCAGGAAAGTATATCACGCTTAAGAACTTTACTATTAAGGGGAGAAAATGTACAAGAGGCCGGAAATCTCAGTCGATAGATCCGCGGTCCCGGTCAGGCTGCACATTCTTCTCACCATGTGACATTTTGTGCCCAACTTGGGGCCGTGACTTAATATAGCTCAGATTTTAATTTACATCTCTCTGTAACTCTGTGAAATTCGAGGATGAATTTCAATAAAGCAAGGGAGTATGTCACGGTTCAGAACTGTTCACTATATAGGGGAGATGATGTGTAAGCGGCCGGAAAGCTCAGTCGGTAGAGCCACGGTATGGTATTCCAAGGGTCCCGGGTTCAATATCCGGTCAGGCTGCACAATTTTCTCACCTGTGACACATGGAACAAATAACCTTCCCTCCCTCATTTTATCTTTTTTTGTGTTGTCGCGGTTGAAGGGCCTATTCACAAATACTGAAAAAAGGTAAAAAAAAAGTGTGTGACAAAATAAAAAAAAATATCTGTTTCTCAATATGTCCTTCCTTCAAGGTTTGCTACTTGTAACAACCACAACCAAACAAAATAACGAAATGGCACATATAAGACACCATAGTTTTGTGATCCTCAAATGGCAAAATAGCAGCTCACTTAAATGCAGGAAAGCTGCGGAGTGCTATTTTTAATTTGAATAACTGTGTTGTTGAGTTGAGAAAACGTTTTGTAACATTTTTATATCAAAGTTTATGCAAAGTTTTATGGCATACGTACTTAATTAGTTAAAAGAAAGTACCTAGATCACATTTTAACAGGATTTGTCCCCAATTTTTTAAAAAACGGCCGAAGGATACAAGTCGCTTTAAATCGTATTATTTATATTTATGGCGTTTGTTGATTTAATCATTGAATTGTAAATATTAAGAAATAGGACAAGCTATTAGACCTTTTGTACTCAAAGCACTTTGCCCACCTTTGCTCTCACTTGAATAGAACTTCTATTTTGGTCCTCAAAGAACTCATTGACCACCGCCTCCATGACAACGTCATTGCTTCCAAAACGTCAACCACGAAGCTTGGTTTTCAGCTTCGGAAACAGGTAGAAGTCAGAGGGGGCCAAGCCCGGAGAATATGGGGGATCAGGAAAATTTCAAAGCCGCAGTCAGCTGCAGCAGTCATTGCAACTTTGGATGTGTGAGCTGGCGCATTGTCTAGCAGGAGCAGAATGCCTCGAGTCAGTTTGCTCCTTCTTTTACGACCACTTTCTTGACGCAGATGTCTCAATTCGTCTGCACAGTACGTACCGTTTATAGTGCGACCTTGCTCAAGATAGTCAATCATGATTATCCCCTGACTATAACAAAAAGCTGAAGCTATCATCTTCCCTGCAGATGGCACCCTCTTGAATTTCTTCGGAGGGGATGAGCCAGGGTGCTTCAACTGTGTTGTATATTAATAAGTACACAGAACGTGGACTTGTAATATTTAACACAGACACGTGTTGCTAGTTCTATCATTTAATGACCACTGAATGTTCCAAGTTTATAAGTGGCGGAAAGATAATGGACGTGCGCATTACAGAATAACCTTTTACCTCATATAGTCCTGTTTTGACGACTTTTCGACCCCCTCCTTTTTAAGGCCTCAAACAGTGAAAACTTCCCTATTTAGGCCCTAAACACTGTTTTCGTTTGAGAAATGTTGCTAAAATAGTGATCACTTTTTCAACGCCGCCTCCATTAAAAAGGTACATCAAGAAGTTGCCAGAAAGGGGATGTGCCCCCTTCTGTTTGGGGGGGGGGTGAAGGGGGGCGGCAGTCCACCTCATCGCAAAGAAAATTTTGAACATGTGAAGGCTCAAATTGCCTCAGGTCGATCGTAAGGTAACGTAAAAGCCTTTAACTCTATCTCAATCCATTCAGAAGTTGCAGCACTTTGAAATCAGTTTTGATGAAAAAAAAAAATGAAAAATAATGATTTTTTCGCAATTTTGAGACGTTCCCCCGTTGCCATGGTATCAGGAAATTTCAGATTGAGCATGCTGTTACAGAGGCTGTGATCTAGGCAACATTTGTGCCAAGTTTCATCAGTATTGAAGTATTTTTCATTGTTTCATAGCATTTTGAACTTGTTACAGGAGGCTTTTCAATGAAAACGGCCATTTTTCACAATATGCTCATGAGGTATTATAACATTGGCTGGTTCCCAGTACTTATTTTTTCTTTTCGAATTCTGACAGATTTTTCCGATTTTTAGAGGTTTCATTTTGTGTGCGTTTTTATCATAATGCTTCTTGCTTATTAATTGCTATTTTTTCCATTTCTTTTCTTGCTTCACGATGATTTACTGTTTGTGGCAAGAGTTGCTTGTTGTTAGGAGAAGCGACTTGAGTCGTGTGCCAATCAAAAGTTGGGCGGATGACCGTCCACATTTACGTGGTGTATTCCTATATTCTAAAAGGGTCAACTAAGGATCTTTATTATCATCCTTAGCATTCTGAAGAATGTGTTTTGCTATTTTAACATATACTTCACTAAGTCTATTTGAACTTGCATGCGTGGGACTTGAAGTTTCATGTTTAATGTTCCATTGTTTAAGGAAGTTCTGAAATTGTTCACTAGTAAAACATGCCCCATTGTCAGTTTTTAACTTCTCCCAGATATCAAATCTGCTGAGATGTACCTTAAGTTTTCTTATGATATAAGTACTTAAGTGTTAGTCGAACTCAAAATATCGACTGTAAGCGTCAACAAGAAACATAAAATCTTGACCATTCCACGTAGATAAATCACATGATAAATATTGCCATGGTTTTTAGGGTATGTCATGAGGATGTAATGGTTCCTTTTTATTTGAGTCTCTATATTTACAACAAATCTGGCAATTAAGCATATAATCTGTAATATGTTTTGACTTTGATGGCCAAAATATTATATCTCTAGCCCGTCTTGTCGTTTTTTTTACACCAAAATGACATTCATGCACTGTGTTAGTCATGTCAAGTCTTAAAGATTTTGGTATTACTATTTTCTGACTCTTGAACACAATATTGTCTTCAAAAGCCAATTCGTCTCTATGACTCCAGTATTCTAATACAGTCGCATGGCAATTTCGTCTGTCGTCAGGCCATTCGTTAGAAATGACACAAATAAGATTTTGGAATCATCAATATCAAGAGGAGATGTATCGTCGGCTTGTTCCGGTCAGATCCTTTAACTCAGAGTTATGGCCCTTGATTAGTTATGCAGTATGCATATAGAGCAATAATCATTCCCGCGCTTATACTCTGCAACTACTGGCTGGAATTCAACGAAACTTTATGAGAACCTTCAATACCAAGAGGAGAGCGCATATCAAGTTATGCAGTATGCATATAGGGCCATAGGAACTCGGAGCGGGACCGCAGATTGCGGCGCATATTTTCGATCGTGTAACGGTTTTTAAAAACGTTTCAGCTACGTCTAAATATCTTTTAGTATTATCCCAGTATATGACATCAAAAAATATGTTATCAATTGAACCCAATCTGTCTCTTTTAAAACTGGTCAAATTTAACGGTATTATAAAAAAGACAAGGAGTGACATCCGCCATTCGCCGCAACGTTTTTGGCATGAGTTTTTCCCCTTGGGCTACAATTGATTACTATTTTTCAGAATTTTGTTCCCGTTTTTTTATCAACTCTCATTGTTTACACGTGTTGACATGTATAGGCGGCATTATAACGGGCGTATTCGTGTCATGGAGAAAACAGACACTTTAGTAATATGGTCCAACTGATTTTGCCTAACTGGAAAATAAAATATTAAAACATGATCCATAGATAAATATTTTAGGCACTCATCTGGTATTCATTACTAGAAATATTAAAACAAAAATCAAGCATATCAAGGGGGATAATTTACGCCGAACGTTGCGGTAAATGGCGGATGTCACTCCTTTTCTTTTTTCAATATACAGTTAATTTGACTGATTTTTAAATTAGCAGATTATATTAAATTGAGATTAGATAAATAAAGACCATCCGCTCGCATAATATGAAAAGATATTCAAAGGTCGGACAAACAATATGTAAAGCAGGAACGGATTCGGATTTATGCCCTGCAATATGCGGTCCTGTTCCAGAGTTCCTATGTATAGGGCAAACTTTATGGAGCCTTCATTACCAAGAGGAGATGCGCATATCATCGCTTTGTTCCGGTCAGACACTAACTCAGAGTAATGGCCCTTTATAAATTATACAGTATGCATATAGAGCAATAAATGCTTCCACGCTACTTCTTTGCAATTCAATTAAACTTTATGGGAACCGTTAATACCAAGATGAGATGTGCATAATTTGTTGCCATGTTCAGACCAGACCCTTCATTAAAGAGTTATGGCCCTTGATTAGATGTAAATATATAAATAAAGCCTTATGTCTTCAGTTGTTGTGTTAGTAATAACCAGTACTCGGCGGTACTTAATGACGGCTATGATTTCAACTTTCTCCATTTGGTCTAAATGACACACCTTCTACTGATCAAAGTGTGTTTTATGTTACTTAATCTGTGTAAAACCGCGTGTAACTCGGTCAGTAATCTTCAATAAGATATCGATATCGACATATCGTGTGTAAATGTCAGTGTAGTGGCTAGAAGTATATCGGGCTGAGAACTTTTTGATCATACCTCGTGATGCTATTTATTATTTCATGACACGAAAACTAATGAACAATTTTGACCCCCAGGAACATAATTTCAGCATTGTTGGTAGATATGTAACCTACCGAAACCATTTAAACAACTTTGATAGGGGATAACCCGTATAGTTTGATTTAAATCCAAGCAAGGGAAACGTGACTTAACAAAAGACACCTGAAGACAGACGGCAGATGGCGTCCAACATTATGTTCAGATAACTTAAAAAAACTAATAAATATATACACAACGCAATTATGTAATATTCGTTCATTTTTTAACCAAAAAAAATTGAACAATTCAATCAGATGTATTTCATACATCATTTTGTAAGTTAACAAAACTTATGGTTGCAAAATAAGTATATATGAATATAATCAAATTCTTACTTATGTTTGCCGGTGTATCATCCTATCTATCCCCTATTTGTAAATATGTACTCATCCAGAATCAAAGTAAAGTTCCATGACACTAAATATTGTGCAAGAATTGTTAAGGTCATGTATGTTTTTATTTACAACATGGCGCAATGACATACAATCTTATATTAACCAAATACAAGGATATTTTGAAAATAACTTTTCAAGAAATATAGATCTATGTTTACCTATCTTCAAATCTGTGCGCTTGATTTGTGCCAATCGCTTAAGCGATGTTTCTTGACGTTCCCGAATTTGTTCATTCAGTTTGCTTTGTTTATCATCTTCCTTTTCAATTGCCCTTTGTGTTTTCTCTTGCCCTTTGAAGGCAGTGTATGCCTACATTCAATACAACGTTTTTACTGTACACATTATGTTATGTATGAAAAAATCTAGGTCGATGTTATATACAGATTTTTTATTAGTGACGTAGATTATTGACTTGAAGCTAATATCTTACCCAATGAAATTTGAATTCTTACAAGTTTTTAAGAATAGAAATATGCAGAAGCATCAAGTTGATATTTTATTATCGCGTCCCATGTATGCCTTATCATATACCTTACATAAGTTATAGTTTACCAAAAATGTTAAAGTTAAGTAATAGAAAGAGCATCGATACTCGAGACTATCTGATTTGTACGATGTGGCGTAGCTTTTAGAGTATAAATCAGATAGCCGAGTATTTTGATATTCTTTCCCTTTTGTATTATAGGCAAAAGTTTTCCCGACGACACAATATTTAACCCCAGAAATATAACCAATATCCAAGCATCTGAATATGACTTTTCTATCGTTAAAGTTTTGTGTTTGTATTAACTCAACTGATTATGACACATGGTATACATATACCATGGTTATAGTAAGACATAAATAAGTAAACGCCTGAAAAAAATAGCCAATCAACGGGCATGCTCTAGACAGACAGTAAATGTTGGTTACTAATTAATACATGCACACAAATTAACGCACTGTGCATCTGTTGTTTTACGATTTAACGCTGACACGTTTTCACTAGTTAAGTCTTCAAACTATGATACAAGAAATTATTTTAATACCCTCATCCCTTGTCTAAATAGATGGAGAGGCATTTTCGCAGCCTGGATTGCCCTAAGCTGTTGTTGTACATTTGGAACGGCCATGTTCATTATATCTTTCCATGTCTCATCGTCTGTTTTAGTTGGAACTAAGAAACAAAAACGATATGCTTAATAGAAGCTATCTACATACACATACAATTTGGTTGATAAAACTACTGAACGCCTCCAGATCTGTTTACTCGGTCCAAGGTAATGAAGAAATTTTCTCATCTGGGATCTCAGAAACCGGCACAGAATGTCCACAGATCAATGACAATCTCTAAATTATTAGACCTCACGAAAATGTTTTACAACCTTAAGGTCTGGATTTTATAAATGTTCAAAATGTGTATTCATATGCTACTTGTATATAAGAACATCGCATAATAGATATGACTTAAACACGATCTACATGTTACAAGCGCGAATCAACAAGCATCTAAAAGATCATGCATGGTCATTTCAATAAAGATACAATAAAATATAAGGACAATTAAATGTATAAATGCAGTTTTTAGTTGAATACACAGAAAATAATGGAAAACAATGAACAATTAAAATAATTTTTAATTGATATTTTGCAAATTTTGGTGCACCCCCCCATAAAATGTGTTTGAATGGTTTCAAAAAAGAGGCCTTAATAATTACGTGCGTTTGCCAAAAACTCATCTCTCTTTTGTTTCATATTTTGTAATTCTGTTAATGTTTCTTGTCTTTCTTTTTCCATTTCTGTGATTTCTTTTTCAGATTGTTGCTCCATTGATTCAGCTTCGTTCTTTTCGATTGTAAGGTATTTTGTTTGATCCATAACTTCTTTATTCCGTATGTTCACATCCACAATGTTTTGTTGCAACTGTGTTCTAAGTGCAAGGTACCTTCCAAAAAATGCAAAGAGAAATTTTGGAATACGATCATTATGTATTGTTTACTATTTATATTTTCATTTTGCCATTTTGATAATTAATTTTTTTTTCGTAAGACCATGCACATCATAAATAAAAATCACTCTAAGGTTTTGCTTATAATACGACAACATGTAAAGACTTCAGCTAAGGAAAATATTATATACTATATACATATACATGTATATTTAAAAGCAAAATATTTTTATGCTCTCGCCATTAAATGGCTGGGACATATATTGTTACCCCGTTCCGTCATTCCGTCATCATCATTTTCCGTTCATTATCTTGGCAACAGTTGCACACATTCAAGTAAAAAATTCATAAGTTAAATGCAGGTCAAGTTCAATTTGGTCATGGTCTGGTGATTTTTGACAGAATCATGCCCCTTGATGAAAGTTTCAGTTTCCGTTCATTATCTCACACAACGGTTGTATCAATTCAACTTAAATTTTACGTACGGGTACATCAAGGAATGCGCAGGTCTATTTCGAATCGGTAATGGTTCGAGAAAATTTGGCAGAGGTATGCCCCTTTTACTTTAAAAAAGAAGAAATTTTCAGTTTCCGTTTATGATCTCCTCAAAAATGTACACATTGAACTCAAATTTATGATATGGTTATGTCATAGAAATGCGCAGACCATGTTCGAATTTGGTCATGACTCAATGATTTTTGAGTTATCCCTCTTGAACAGGAAAAATAAAAAAAATCAGTTTCCGTTAATTTTCTCCTACGAAAGCCTAATAGTGTAAAAAAAATGAAAAAATACAAAGGCGTTATAACGCGAATAAAGGCGATATTACACGAATTAAAAGCGTAATTAACGCGAATCAAAAGGCGTAAATACGCGGAAAAAGGCGTAGCAATGCGAATTAAGGCGAAGTAACGCGAATATAGGCGTTATAACTCGAATTGAAAGGCATAATTACGAGAAACAAAAGGCGTAAAATTTAACACGAATCAAAAGGTGTAGTAACGCGAACCAAAAGGCGTAATACCGCAAATTAAAACGCACTATAATGTAAATGTAGTGCCATATGTATACTAATCAAATGGCCTGGTAAGGCGAGAAAGGAAGAAAAATATTGATCTGAATTTATTGCTCAAGAAATTAACTCGTATAGAATAATGTAATATACATTTACAATAACTATCATTTCATTTGCGCAGTTATAATGCAAACTATTTGTCATAAACTAGTGAAGACTTTTTGATATTTGTCAATTTAAGGTAATAACGCAAATTAAGGCGTTATAACGAAAATTGAAAGGCGTTATTACACGAATAAAGGCGTAATAACGTGAATCAAAATCATTTATTAAAAGTTCCTTAATTTGGAAATAGTGCATAGAACGTACTAATTTTTAAGTAGCGAACATTACATGCTTCAGTCATCATCTGGCACAGGCTGTCAAAGTAATAGAATCTCGGTTAATTCTTAGAATTTATCATGAGAAAGATAAGTCTGGCTATAGTAGCATAAGTATTTAATTGTAAATAAACATATAAACGACTTAGATTACTAAGTTATTTTCAGTTATGTGCGGCACTTAATTTACAAGTCGCGTACATTACCGATGCCAGTAAATTTTGGCGACAGTTCTAAAACATTCTACATATGACAAAGATCAGTCTTTTCAAGTGGGTCAAGCTTTGAAAACAGATAAGGAGACAGACATACTCCTGCACAAATTATTTTTTTGCCGAAATTGTATAGGTTTTTGAGGTTACACTAGCTCAAACACGAATAATCCAAAATTGCGACAGTCTCGAACATTACATTTCCAATAGCTTCCCTCATAAAATTTTGGTATCGAATGTGTTATCAATGAAGTCTATGGATAAAAAAATTCCCTTATATACTTTTTGAACGTTAGCTATCAAATAGCAAGTTTTTCTGAATCGAATATGTTCAGAGTGTGCAGCGACATCAATTTCACAATTCGCGTGAGAATAAGTGTATAACGCCTATGCATTTTTATTTTATATTTTATTTGACACTATTAGGCTTTCGTTACCTCCCAATAGTTGTACACAATCAACTTCAATTTAAATATGGATATGTCATAGGAATGCCCAGGTCAACTTCGAATTTGGTCATGATTCGATGATTTTTGACAGAGTTATGTCTTTTAACTTTGAAATAAAAAAGAAGAAATTTTCAGTTTCCGTTTAATTTCCCCAACAGTTTTACACATTCAACTGAAAACATTCGGATAACCACATACTGGCATATACGCTGTTCCATTAGAGCCAGCGAGATTGGATCGCGCGAAATACGACAGTTCGATTGTGACCGTAAGACAACACGATGACAAGGTTCGACAGTACGGTGATGACAATACGATAGTACGGTACGATGGTGATATTTTATTATGAGCATGCTTAACAGCAAGGCGACAGTACGATGATGGATATACGACAGTACGATGATGATTATACGACAGTATGATGGACTATCACCATCATAGTATCGGGCTTGCCGTCGTACTGCCATTATCAATCTGTCGTACTATCACCTTCATACTGTCGCACTCCGCCATCATACTGCCTGACTGTCTCCATCGTAGTCGTACGTTTGGCGCACATTCTTTTTTACTATAAAATCAGGCCCTGTCTATTCAAACATTACAATCAAGTATCAATAAATATTTCTTTGATTAAGTAGCAGTTTTTAGCAATTTAAACCGGTCGTTATGTAAAGTACATATCTTGACATTTTTATAAATCACATTGTAGTAAGCTTATTGTGCTGCAACTGAAACGCCTATCTCTATCTGACAAATACGTTTTAAAGCTTATACCACAAATGGAAGAACATATGCTTATTCGTTATATGATCTAAATATAGCTGCAATCTCATTGGTCCAAACAATAGTCAACAGAACTTTTTATAAAGTCATATTCATTGGGTGTAGTATCATATTCACTGGCTGAATTGGATTTTCCCATTTTGAGACTCATATATTCAATGACCATTTATCGTAGACTGTTATATACGCGTGCGCATTATAAATAATTGTTGCATTTTGTTCTTAGGGTATATTTCTCGATTAAAATATCATTACTTCACTATTATACTTAACGGCTACACCGCAATGATGAGTATGAACTTCGTATGCTCAGCGTTTGCGTAGTCGTTGCACTGCGTCTTTTCCCTGCAAATCAACGAATCAGGCAAAAGTTGTTCGTTTATAAGGTTGTACTTTCTGTGATGTTTTAAATTCTTATAGCCTATTCATATAATAAAACAATTATTGACTAGTGTGCCATTGAATATGATGTGATATTCACCGGCAGAAAGTCATATTGACTTTGGCTATAGCCTCTGTCAATATGTCATCTGCCGGTAAATATTACATCTTATTACCTGATACCTTATATAAATGTAATTTGGTATTTTTTTTAACTGTTTTCTGAAATAATTAATCTGTCCACTTCCGCGAACTGTTGACCGATCAATAGTTTCAAATGTTTCCCTCGATAGAGGATTCCCCCTTGAACGCCATAAACCAGACGTGACATGACATAGTTAAAAGATTGTTAAATTCGGAAAGTTTAATTATTAACAATTTTGAAAAATTATTTTCTTGTTCCTTTTTTCTTCTGCAAGTACTGTTAAAACAGTAATTGATCAGGTGATAAAACAGTTATTTCATATGTGATTTGGGAACAGTCAACCAGTTGTCCCTCTGTGTGGGGGACAGTCTTTTGAGCTGTTGCCCTCTGCCTACGGCCTTAGGCAACTGTTCAAAACACTATTCCCTCCACCTCGGGCCAACAGTTACACTGTTCCCAAATCACATATGAAATAACTGTATAATATTCGATGACACACTAGTCAATAGTTGTGTAGTAATACATGAAACAATTTGAGAGGAAGAAAAAGATTACCTATCTCTGACATTTTCAGCTTCTTTTTTCATATCATCTGCCATTTGTAGTATTCGCTCAAGCATATCTTTAATTATTTTGCTTTTCTGTAATTCAAAAATAATTTTAGTGCCTGATAACCAGACTTTAAAGTTACAAACTGTTCCGGACCCTGCACTTTTATCCACATTTATATAATATCTAACACGTCTTGAAATAAAAAATAACTGTGCGTGTACATGTACATCTATAAAAATTAACAATTTGATTTCTTACATATTACATAAGAAATTTAAATCATCGACTCATATATGAATCAATTCATCTTAGGAATATTTCACTTTTGAGTTATCAAAAAGTTGTTTACCCTCTCTTTTATAACTGTTTTCAACATCGGCATCATATCACTTGTTACAAATTCTGACGTTGTCATAAATTGCTTCATAAGTCCCGAGCACATGCCATGTTGAGTTCGTGCTTCGTTTGCGGTTCCACGTACCTGAAATTAATTTACTAAAGTAAAAGAAATTAAATGTGTGTGTGCGCGAGCGCGCGCGTGTGTATGTGTGTTTGCGCGCGCGCCATTGTGTAATAAATGTAGATAGATAGAAAGACAGACAGACAGACAGACAGACAGACAGACAGACAGACAGACAGTCAGACAGACAGATAGATAGATAGATAGATAGATAGAATCAAAATAAATATTAGGACTAAATGATAGACACCATTAAAAGAGATCATTATCCATTAAGTAAATGTTGTTTAACAGATAATTTATAATTGTACAATTTAGATTCCATCCTAATAGAAGCGGGTAATTTATTCCACAATACACATCCATTGTAAGTAAAAGACTTTGATCCGAAACCTTTGACCTTAGGTAGTATATAACACCCATTTTCACATGACCTGGTCCTGTAAGTATGAACAGAATCTAAGGGATTAAAGTCCCCCCCATATATTCAGGGCAAGTCCATGTTTTATTTTAAAAACATTACAGAGGATAATTTGATCGACTCTTTTTTGGACAGGCAGCCAATTTGAAATTTTAAAGTGTTCATTTTCAATATGGGACCTTCAACCAAGATTTAGAACAAATCTTATTAATTTATTTTGTGTGACCTGGAGTTTATTCTTCCAGTATTAAGTAGCCCTAGGAAACTAGAAACAACATGCATAATCAAAATGACATTGGATGAGGGTCATAACCAGAAGTTTTTTTCGTGTGAAATGTGAGATAATCACGTTTTCTATACAGAAACTTTAACCTTGCATTGGCCTTTTTAATAATAGAACTTGCCATTGATTGACCGGAGATAGACTGATCAAGTGTTGCACCTAGACATTTGACGTTAGAAGTTGACTGTATATCAGTCCCTTTACAACTGACATGAACAGATGGACCTGTTTATAACCTATATTTAGAACCAAAAAATATTGTCTCTGTTTTGCCTAAGTGAAGGAAAAGTTTATTATAAATTAACCATTGACTGACAGAATGTAGTTTATCTGTCAGTTTCTTTTCAATGGATGAGCTGTTTTTACCTGCAACAAGAATAGCAGAATCATCTGCATAAAGGAGAAGTTTATTTTTAACAACAGCCTGCATATCATTTATATAAATTAGAAATAATAATGGTCCCAAAATAGATGGTTGGGGAACACCACATACTGATCAAACTATATTTTAAATAGTGTTCCTCACCAACTCTAATACGTTAACCTGCAGATTCCGGACAACCCATGACTTATATTTATCATATTTTTTGTGTGAAATATATTGAGCATTTTCATTATCATATATTTAATTATTAACTAACTTTTCAATATTAGACACGTTTTCACTTCAAATGTAAGGCTCATATGAAGTTCACCACGACATTATGAACATTAAACAAATGTTATCATTATTGTTTGCTGAAAATTGTTATTTCATTTGCAATCAACTCACCCAGGAATTTAGTCTAAAAGGATAAAAAGAAAAATCCCTAGTAAATTCTAATATTCTTTACCTTTCCTGCCTCAACTGGATGATCCTTTAGTTGAATATAACATATTTCCAAAAACTTGCCAACTTCCAATTGTGAAAACCTAAAAAGCTTGAACAGACCAACCATGTCTACAGCATCGGCCGCAGTTCCTTCCTTGACAAAAATATACACAAATATTTGGTAATTTTTGAATACCTGTCTACACGACATTCGGGAGTGATTTTTATATTTTATTTTTCCATTTCTATAGAATTTCAATAATAATATCTTAGTCCGGAAAACAAAAACTTGTTTATAATTGTAATATTAGATATCACATATCACAAGAAACAACTGCATAGTATGCAAGCATCAAGGGTTAAAACAATCATGGAATGGTCTTATTTATGTTAATATATGATTTTTTTTATGTTGCATCTAACATATTAAGTTTTTACAGACCTTTGTGTAGCAACCTGATTCATATCCTATCTTCAATATATAACTCTTACACCAATACGTCAGATATTCATAAAATGCTATCTCGTTAAGTATTATTCTGAAGAATCAAGTAATGAACACAGTAAAGTGTAGACAACTTTTATTCAGTCATATACTTTCTGTTAAACAGATATATGCTATTGTTGCTGTAGTAAGCAAGTCTACAAGATAGAATAAGCCACGCCTTTAATATCAAATATCGTTATTGTTACTGTGTGTATGTTTACTTGATGTTTGGGAGTTTATGAGTGTATTCTTGGATGCAACACATATAATAAAATATATAAACCATCCTTCGGGTCTTGTTTAGTTTGTGTGCTAGTAAGCCATCCAAATAGAAAATATAAATGTTACAGTTGCTACGTGACTGTTTAATATTACAATTTCATATGCTCTTGAATAAAAAATGAACTAAAATAATGCAAGAAATATGAAAATTAACATGTAATCTTTTTAGCTTAAGCAATAGTTCTGCGTCTATAAATGACATTTCATTAATTTAAAAGTATGATAACTGAACTGTGGATGTGGTTAAACAAAGAACAAAATCCTATTAGCTAATGTTTGGTTAAGAACGTTTTCATTTAGATCAAAATGACTTCATGATTTGTTTCAGAAAGAAAATAAAATAAAAACTTGAAAACATAAAATAAATAAATAAATGATAACAAACATCTGTTAGCTATCTCTGTTATCTTAGTCTCTGATTATAGTTTGACAACAATATTAACAAGCAATAATCATAGTATTGCGAGCAACACAAAAGTCCCGTACCAGCTATAATCCAAGCAACATTCTGAAGGGCCATTCAATTAATAGTAAGTCTTTGTGGAAGACATAAATGAACATGAATCTTTTGAGTTATTAGTTTGTCTGTATCATGGTAATGCGTTTAGTTTCCCTGTCTAGTAAGGAAATTATGTTAAAGCTGCAGGCCTCCTCATAAGCCAAAATATTTCAAGAAATTCAATCTTTAGAAAAATGTATTATCATCATAAAAAAAAGATTCAATATGTAATGAATTATTTACATGTTATGTCCGATAATTGACTGATTTTGCAGTATCAATCACTATAATTGTACTGGTTACTAACGCCAGTAAGAAGTATATATGTATATTTTGACCTCTTTTTGTTAATTTACGTGTATTGTAAGTGTCGTTTGCAATGTTTAAATTACTTTCTTTGTTTATTTCACAGTATTTTACTTTTAAAAACATTTTCAAAATTTTCATGAAAATAAGCATGAACCTGGAGAGATACAATTTTCTCAGGATAAATATGTATAATTAATATGTTTCAACATTCCTCTATTGCAAATTTGTAGAAATAGTTCCAAGTTCTTTAAAGTGATGTAAGAAAACATTTCGAAAAGAGCATAATTTTAATCAAGAGGGCCATGATGGCCCTGGATCGCTCACCTGACACAACCGCATCCAAGCAATGTCTTAGACAAGCATCATGGCCAAGTTTGATGACAACTGAGTCAAACATGTGACCTCTAGTGTGTTAAAAAGATTTTTCCATACTTGGGCAATGTGACCTAATTTTTGACCGGACACGACCCATATTCAAATTTGACCTAGAAATCATCAAAATAACTTTCCTGACCAATTGCCAGGAAATTTGGATCAAAACTGCAGCCACTAGAGTGTTAAAAAGATTTTTCTATTTTTAGCTCCTGTGACCTAGTTTTTGACTGGACATGACCAATCTTCGCACTTGACCCTGACATCATCAAAACAACCTTCCTGACAAATTTCCAGAATATTTGGTTCAAAACTGCAGCCACTAGAGTGTTTACAAGCTTTTTCTATTTTTAGGTCCTGTGGCCTAGTTTTTGACCGGAGATGACCCATCCTCGAACTTGACCTAGAAATCATCAAAACAACCTTTCTGACAAATTTCCAGAATATTTGAATCAAAACTGCAGCCAGTAGAGTGTGAACAAACTTTTTCTATTTTCAGCTCCTGTGACCTAGTTTTTGACCGGAGATGACCCATTTCGAACTTGGCCTAGAAAACATCAAAACAACCTTCCTGACAATTTTCCAGAATATTTGAATCAAAACTGCAGCCATTAGAGTGTTTACAAGCTTTTTCTATTTTAAGCTCCTGTGGCCTAGTTTTTGACCGGAGATGACCCATCTTCGAACTTGACGTCGACTTAGAAATCATCAAAACAACCTTCCTGACAAATTTCCAGAATATTTGGATCAAAATTGCCGCCACTAGAGTGTTAACAAGCTTTTTTCTATTTTTAGCTCCTTTGACCTAGTTTTTGACCGGAGATGATCTATCTTCGAACTTGACCTAGAAATCATCAAACCAACCTTCCTGGCAAAATTCCAGAATATTTGAATCAAAACTGTAGCCACTAGAGTGTTAACAAGCTTTTTCTATTTTTAGCTCCTGTGACCTAGTTTTTTAACCAGATATGACCCATCTTCGAACTTGCTTTAGAAATTATCAAAACAACCTTCCTGACAAATTTCCAGAATAAAATATTTGAATCAAAACTGCAGCCAGTAGAGTGTTAACAAGCTTTTTCTATTTTTAGCTCCTGTGACCTAGTTTGACCGGAGAAACCCATCTTCGAACTTGACCTAGAATTCTTAAAAACAACCTTCCTGACAAATTTCTAGAAAATTTGGATCAAAACTGCAGCCAATAGAGTGTTAACAAGCTTTTTCTATTTTTAGCTCCTGTGACTAGTTTTTGACCGGAGATGACCCATCTTTAAACTTGACCTAGAAATCATCAAAACAACCTCCCTGACAAATTTCTAGAATATTTGGATCAAAACTGCAGCCACTAGAGTGTTCACAAACTTTTTCTATTTTTAGCTCCTGTGACCTAGTTTTTGACCGGAGATGACCCATCTTCGAACTTGACCTAGAAATTATCAAAACAACCTCCCTGACAAATTTCCAGAATATTTGGATCAAAACTGCAGCCACTAGAGTGTTAACAAGCTTTTTCTATTTTTAGCTCCTGTGACCTAGTTTTTGACCGGATATAATTCATCTTCGAACTTGATCTGTATTTCATTGAGACAAACATTCTGACAAAGTTTGACAATGATCCAATCAAAATTGTGACTGCTAGACTGTTAACAACCAAATTGTTGACGACGCACGACGCACGACGACGGATGCCGGACATAGCCCCATCACTATACCTCACTTTGACCACTTCGTGGACAGGTGAGCTAAAAATAAACTATTTATAGCAACAAAGAAGAAAATTCAGAAAAAATATGCTCAAATTGAAATTATCATGGAAACATGGTACTAGATATAATATGTCTTAAATTCAAATAGATCCATGACGAAAAAAGAAAGTTAAAGAATGAATAAATAAAGAATGAATAAGGAAAATTCAAAGTTTAAGGAGATCGTTTTTGAAATATGGACGCTTGGTAAACGTTGTCATATTATGATTTAAGAGTTTTAAGTGCGAAGAAAAGCCTTAAGAAATGGAAAAAAAATCAGGGGAACATAATTCTGAAAAATAGTCAAACTAGAATATTGAATCTTCTCACACATGATTTGAATGATAATAAGAAACTTATATTTGAAGTAGATACATTAAGAAATAAAGAAGATTATATATAAACATTCTTTCATGAAAATTTAAAATTCAAGGGGGTTATTTTGGTAATTTTTGAACCTTGCCATAATATAGTGATATGATTGTGATCAGAAACAATATAAACTAAAAACCATTATTCTCTCAATTGTTCTTTTTAACTACATAAAGAAAAATAGGCACATAAAAGCCTTACGGAATGAATTACTTCAAAGAGAAAGTACATTTACATATCGTACCTCTAGTCACATAAGTATCCAAGTGTAAGCTCGGACAGACAGACGGACGGACGACGGAGGGTAAACCTAAAGTCCCCTGCGGTTAAACCGGTAAGGGACTAAAACAGGTTCCAAAACCTAACACTATTTCCATACTATAAGAAAAATAAAAAAAATGATAAAAACGTCTTTTCTGTCTGAATCGACCAAAATTATTAAATGTAAGACGAGATGTGTCTCTCCTTTCACATTAGTTGGAGATATTGTTCTGATGGACCACTCGATGGTAAAACACTTCTTTCAATTTCATACCATGTAGTCTGAAAGTATTAAAAGATTATAAATAGCAAGCATGAATTTAAATTATTCGGAAATGTTACAATTTCTTTAATAATTTCTTAACCCTTTACCTCATATATACGCGAAACAACGAACTTTCGACCCCGCCTCTTTAAAGCTGCAGTCTCACTTACTCCCGGCAGAGCCCAGGACCATCCCAGTAAGTTACCGGGATGATCCGGGACGATCCGGGGTGAAATTATTGTTGCAGTCACACTTACCCCGGCAGCACTACGGTAGTTCCCAACTAACCACACAGGATGCGCTCCGGATCCAAGGTGAAGCTACGGTTCGTGCCGGTGCTTCCCCGGTCGTTCCCGGATGACGCCGGAAGAGCCCCGGGCCGATCCAGGCAGAGCCCAGGACGATCCAGGCAAAGCCCCGGTAGAACCCCGGTGGATTGAAAACGCCCGAAAATGATAACATTGATACATAATTTTTATTGAATATAATATCTATTGTTCCAGAATAGTAATTCATGATGATTTTCTGAAAAATCCTTATGCCATACTGGATAGAAGGGAAATGGGAAGGGTTTAAATACAGATAAGTGCAATCATTGCAAATTGTCGTTATTCTTTTGAAATGATCCGGGCTTTGACGGGGCTCTACCGGGATCAACCGTAGCTCTACCTTTATCATCCGGGGTTCTGCCTGTAGTTACCGGGGCTCTGCCGGCATATACCGGGGCTCTACCGTAACTCTACCGTAGTGCTACCGGCTATATCATACCCCGGATCATCCCCGGTTTGTGCCGACAGAGCTACGGTGCTTCCCCGGTATAACCCCGGTTATTCCCGACAGAGCGACGGATGAAGCCGGCAAAGCTATACCTTCCCGGATCATCCCGGACCACCCCGGTGATATTAAATATTTTATTCCATCCGGGGTCGAATGCCGTATGTTCCCGGATCATCCCGGATCTTCCCGGATCATCCCGGACGTTGTCGGCAGAGTTACGGATGTAATCCGGTTGTTCCCGGTCGTAGCCCGGTCGTTCCCGGATCACCCCGTACGTCTACCGGGGCTCTGCCGGGATGTAAGTGAGACTGTAGCTTTAGGCCTCACATAGTGGAAAAATGTCCTATTTGGGCCCCAAACACATGTTTTCGTTTGAGAAATGTTGCTAAATGTTGCTAAAATGTCGCCAAGAAAATTTTGGACTTGCGAGAGGCTAAAAATGACCCAAGGTCGATCATAAGGTAACGTGTAACCAACGCTTAAAAGCCTTTGACTCTATCTCAATCCCTTGAGAAGTTGCAGCACTTTGAAATAAATTTTTATGGAAAAAATCAAGGGAAAATAGTGATTTTTGGCAATTTTGAGATGTCCCCTCGTTGCCATGGTAACAGGAAATTTAAGACTGAGCATGTCGTTACAAAGGCAATGGCCCAGTCAACATTTGTGCCAAGTTTGATTAGTATTGAAGCATTTTTCATAGTTTCATAGCAGTTTGAACTTGTAACAGGAGGCTTTTCAATGAAAACGGCCATTTTTCACAATATGCTCATGAGGGAAAGGGTTAAACGGTAAAACATAAAACATGCTTCTAGATTTATACTTTTTTAATTTATTAAAAAAACGCATGATGTTAGTACATACTTTTACAATAAGTATGTTCAAAATCCATCCTCTTAGAACTACATGTATTTTATATTTATTTGATTTTATACATTTATTGCACTTGAATGGGAATTAGTGATATATCCAAACCGGTCTAAAAATACGTTAGTGATATCATAATTGCAATAGAATATGCAAATAAGATAACACAAGTTTAAGCCAGACAATTTCTGTACGCTTGCAAACTGAATTCGAGAAGTATAGTGCATTTTTATACAACTAAGATATATTCGGTTGAGTAAACGAATACAGAGATTCTGTTTGAAAATCAATTTATATATGTTAAAAAATGTTAAAATGAATATTTTGACAAAACGCCAATGCAGAAATGTAAAGACTTTTAAAAGACAAACACATTGATACGAAAGCCTAATTGTGTCAAATAAAATAGAAAAATAAAAATGCAAAGGTGTTATAACGCGAATAAAGGCGTAAATACGCGAATCAAAAGGCGTATAACGCTAATAAAGGCGTTATTACGCGAATCAAAAGGCGTAGTAACGCGAATAAAGGCGAAGTAACGCGAACCAAAAGGCGTAATTACGCAAATTAAAACGCATTATAATGCCAATGTTATACCATATTTATACAAATCAAATGGCCTAGTGACGCGCAATAACGCGAACCAAAATGCGAAATAACGCAAAACAAAAGGCGTTATAACGCTAATTTAATACCATATAAATTCCAAACAGTGGCCTAGTAATGTATGGAAGGAAGAACAATGTTGATTTTAATGAATTGATCTAGATGTACGTTTTATTTTCAATTCTGTACTGAAACCTCCTAAGGCCACAGTCTGATTTTTTAAATCTTTTATCATGAAATGATTTCGTCAGATTAGAGATTAACTATAGATATTTTTCTAAAAGACAAAGAAGACAATGTCTCCTATAATTGTAACTTAACAGAAACACTATCACCCATTTAGGCATACGTATCAATAATTAAGATATACTTTCACCCTTATGTGACTAACTTATACGTTTTTCCAAATCTTGTTACCTATAGCCTATTACCTATGGCGTAATTAGGAACGACATTCACATAATTAGAAGATACTACGGTTATTAGGTAATCATACAGGATATATCTGAAGATAATATTCGATTTATCCGCTAGAGGATTAAATCTTTTTTTCAAATCTTACAACTTAACATTTTTATTATAACACCCCAGCAGGGCCTCAAAAAGAGTTGTCAGGGGAGACAACTTACACTTGAATATGTCATATATAAGGCAGAGCAAATTCTGGGAGTGGCACACCATAGAAGAGGTAGACTAGTTTATCTTCGTTAAAAAATCTATAATTTACATTTCAAATCTTGAATCCCACCACAAACCCACCCGTTCAATTTCATTGTTTTTCTTTGTTTTTGCTTTCTTCCCTTTATATTTTCAGATAACACTATATTAGCACGTCATGGCTGGAACAGAAAGATATAGAAAAAGGAGAATGCTCATAATTCTCAGCGACCGTTATCGGAGCTGATCAATTTGTAAAACAGACATGTAAAGAGATTTCATCATCTGTACCTGTGTACCTTGAGTTGAAGCATGTGCTACCACGTTTTTGCAACCGTTGCCGGGGCAAAAACAGTTATAGTAAAGACATTTAGTAGTCTTAAATCGAAACACATAGACATTTCAATAGGTTAAATAATTAAAATGCTTTTATCCAGCCATGGCCATTTCCATGCCAACACGTTTTTATTAATAAATACTAGTACGTTTTTTAGACTGATTTCCCTTTTCTTTTATTCCCAAGTTGTAATGTTTGAATAATTGAACATATGACGCACATATAACATACGATAAGATAAGAAATAAGATAAGATAAGATAAGATAAGAAAAGAAAAGAAAAAAAAAGAAAAGAAATTTATTTACTGTAGTGACATGTGTAAAATCAATGATGTGATACATGTGAATTCAGAGTAACTTTATTTAAGTCCAGTCCTATGGACCTATAAGTCACCAAGTCATCTTATATTGGCAAATATTAAAGAGTCTTCATTAGTTTATGACAAATAGTTTGCATTATTACTCAGCAAATGGAATGATAGTTACTGTAAATGTAAATTATATTATTCTATACGATTTTATATCGTGAGCAATATTGGTCTTCCTTTCTCGCGTCACTAGGCCATTTGATTAGTATAAATCTGGTATAACATTGGCATTATAATGCGTTTTAATTTGCGTTATTACGCCTTTTGGTTCGCGTTACTACGCCTTTATTCGCGTTGCTACGCCTTAATTCGCGTTATTACGCCTTTTTTCGCGTTATTATGCCTTTTGATTCGCGTAATAATGCCTTTATTCGCGTTATAACGCCTTTGCATTTTTATTTTTTTTATTTTATTTGACACTATTAGGCTTTCGTACATTGAAAGACTTCATTAACAATTTATATTTACAACCTGGATCTTATTTTTCAAACGTTCAGCCTCGGCATCTAAGTGTCTAGGTCGCCGCCCAAAAATTTTCCTAAAAACTCCTTTCTTTCGATCTCTTTCCCATGCACGGAGAATTATGCTAAGAGAGTCTCCAGTGAGTTCAGTCTCATATAACATCGTTTCGACATCCTAAATACAGTAATAAAATTGCTTTTGAAGTTTATACTTTTAACTCAAAACACAGTTGTATGTTTTCTTATATTGGAGTGTAGAAATACTTTGAGAGCAATAAAAATAAAAGCAAGAAAAAAGTGTTGAAAATTGCAGACTTTTCTTTGTCTATGCATGAAAGCATCCCTTATATCCTTATCTGCTCCTACACTTTACTGCCTGTTTACTGACGTTAAAAGAACCGTATGACAAAGAGACATGCAATCGAAAATCTTCATGACTTTCTATACCCCGAAGTGCATAAAAATGACATCCATGTTTGCCAATTTTTACATTTTGATAAGAATTCTAAATCTCAATTTTACATCCTGAAGTAGATCTATGCTTAAAAGAAAATAAAATCTAGCAAAACCCCATATGCACAACTTCAATGCTGATCAACACTCCTGTAGAGTTTAATGACTCTAGGTTACGCAAGATACAATTTTATACTAAGTCAAGGGCAATAACTCTAACAAAGCTGAATTAATTCGCAAGCATACCCCATGCACAGTTTTACATGCTAAGCAACATTTAAAGATTTTTACAAATGCTGATCAACATTAAAGTAAATTTTCATTACTGTAGTAGTCAGGTTACTGGTAGTTACTGTAGTCAAATATATTTTGGATACTCGCGACATAAGTTTAAAAATGCAAATATTTAACTAATTTAAGGGCAATAACTCTAAAAACACTGAATGAATCCACAAGTTTACCTCCAGGTGCACAACTTAAAAAATATTTTTGGTTTACCTCTACACAAGTTAAAAAATCTAAAGTTTTTACTAATTTAAGGCAATAAACATACAACTAAAGAAACAACCCTATTTGGGATAAAATTGACAATACAAATATGAAATATTTATCAAAATAAGGATTAATTTCCGGATCAAAACCCATGTTAGGAGCGTGCTCTAGTGACTAAGGTGTTTACCTCTCAACCTGGGGATCATGAGTTCGAGCTCTAATTGGGTCACGACCATGCTTATTCATATGACACCAGTACTGTTTGGTTCCAGGAAGCGGAGTCGAAAAAGATTAATATAAGTTGCCAGGACTTGTTTCGCAATCGAGCTTAAGTATATTTGTTTAAACCAATGTTTAGATCAACTGTAAAATATCTGTATTTTGCCATAATAACAATAAATTTGTTCAAATATTTCATAAACATGCTATTTCAAGTACAATTTCATCAAGTTAGTATTAAATATTAAATCTTCACACTGATAAACATAAATGATAAATAATGGTGAATTGTTGAGTATTTAAATTTGATCCTGACCTTCAGTCTGATCCTTAACTCTTATTGAACACGGGGCCAGAAGCAAACTTTCATATGCTGATTAACATTCCTACTGACTCTAGCTCAAGCATTTTTAAGGCTACATGTGATATATTATGAGAACACACACTCATACACGATTAAACGTACACTCGCACGCACGGACGGACGGACAAGTTGAAATCGCCCTCTATAGAAGAGGCATAAAAATGTAATTATTTGTTCAATGTTCAATATATTCAAAAGCTTAAAGACATAATGCGAAATGATGATTCAGTGACATATTAAGATGGAATTGTTAACATTTTCTGAATTAACTGGTTTCTACCTGAACATTTATCAATCGCTCCTCGACTACTTCAATAAGATTGTTGATCAAACCCTCAACGTCACGAATAGATGTAATTGTGCGTTCCAGTTGGTCTGTACAAGAAAAAAAAGTACATGTAGTTCTAAAATTAATATATTACCTGCTGTTCTTTGTCCGTTTATAAACATTACACAAACAGGTGCATAAAGCCTTAAATTCTTTTTTTCCATTTGAAGAAAGGGCAAATATGTGTTTTATAAATCGGCATAGAACCAGTAAGTTGTTAATCATCTGAAGAAAAGCGCGTTGATTGTGAAATAATATTTGTTAAGAAAGCAAAAGGTGGTATTTTGAGTTCTATACAAAATACTGAATTAAAATAAGTGTTAAAAATTGTCAAAATGCGAACATAGCAACAGATGGCTCAACATTGACAGAAAATGTGTTTTTTTAGACTCAATGATCCTTAACATTTTAAAAAGTGAAATGTTATCATTTTTGTGACAAAATGCTGATGGAAAAAATCGAAAATGCGTGCGTCGAAAAAAAGGCATCCTTAATACTAAAAGACGTATAAACTTAAAATGCGTACCAAAACTTAGGGCTGTACAACTTGAATTGTACTTGACTTGGAAAATCATTTAAATTTTACATAATAATCAGTCATAAACATGACAAATGAGATTAGTATAACTAGCTCGTGTATGCGCTACGTCACAATGGTAAAATAAATGGTAACCATGTGGATCACAACACTTGTGCAAACAAACTTTTACCGTTTCAGTTTCACGGTGCATTAGCCCAGTCGTTTACAATAAAAGTAATCATCTCAAAAAAAGAATGAATTTATATGAAAACATCCGTAATATAATGCGGAAAGATACAGTTTAATTTGGACTGCTACTTAAAAATGTGTGGTGATTTTCTATTTATGTAAGAATTGCCCATAGGCGGAGATTTCATGCAAATAGAAATTGTACTTCCAATTTCTCCACAATGAGGTTGTAGAATTTATGGCTTTTAAAACTCATTTTGGTTGTCTTGACACAATAATAGGAACGGGAGTCGATATGAAACATATTTAATTTACCCAAATGTAGCTAGTTCTTTTTTTATGATTTTTTAATGGATCTTTAAAACACTGATCCATATCAGCTGCTACAATTTATAAGACAAATCGGCGATAATTTGTGTGAAGCGTAATGATGTCATCCAAAGTATGCAACTCATTCATAAAGGCGCTAGAATGAAGTCATTTTAAATTGACAATAATGACAAACCAAACACTGAATTGTAATCACAATACAATCCAGTCTGACACGTAAGTTTAAATGTTTGAAAACTTGTAAAATAACCTTTTCTTATTATTTCTTTTGTATTATTTCTTTTGTTCAATAATTTCTATATCTTAGCGACAGTAGGAAGCAGAATCGAAAAAAGTTATAAATACAAAACGATTAGCTTTTAAAAAGCGGTCATTTCTATATCCTGGGGGTATTAAAATGTCAAATTGACAGCTCTCTCAGTTTAATAACAAGAGCCGATCGAACAGGTTGATACTCCTTGAATAGGTATTAGACACATAAATACCTTTTATAGTATCAGAGTTATGTCCCGTACAAAGTTCAAAGTGCACTTATTCCAAATTAGGCACGGCATAGACACTGTTCTTTGCACTGTTCTGTTACCCAAAAAGATCTATCTTCCAACTTAGTTTCTTGTTGATACCTCTTGTAGTTTTACAGAAATGTCCCAAACAAAGTTCACAGTGTAAAATAGAAAAAAAGGCCAATAATTCCCAAAATAGGCAAGGCAAAGTCACGGTTCTTTTGCACTGCCCATCTACTTAATGAGATCTATCTACCTCCAAAGTTTCTTTTTTCATATCTCTTGTAGTGTCAGAGTTATGTCCCGGACAAGGTTCAAAGTGTAAAAATAAATAATGGACAATAACTTCAAAATTAGGCAGGCCAGTATCCGAGGATGTTGATATTTTTGCTTATTCATAACATACGTGTCGTGTTTTGATAATATCAACAATTTGCCGAACAGAAGCACATAAAAAGACAGATTGGATCCCAGGCTCGAAAGCCAGAGCACTTAACTTCTACCTAATGAGAGCTATATACCTACAAAGTGTCTTTTTCATATACTTTTAGAGCTATGTCCTGGACAATGTTCAAAGTGTAAAAATGAACAAAGGGAATGCATAACTCCAAAATTAAGTAAGGTTACGGTTCTTTTGCACTGCACTTTTATTGAATGAGATCTATATATCTACAAAGTATATTGTTGATACCTCTTATGGTTTCACAGCTATGTAAAGGAAAAATTCAAAGTGAAAAAAATTAACAAAGGGCAATTACTCCAAAATTAGGCAATGCAGAGTAATGCTACTTTTGCACTGCACTTTTACCCAATGAGATCTACTTTCATGTAAAACACTGTCTTATCATTGTTTAACTAGTTTAATTCTTTATTACAAAAACAATAAGTAGGACAAGTTTATATGAATTTATCAATATTTGTGGTTCTATTTCAGATAAGCATATACTTTGAGTTTTGTCCCGGACAAAGTTCAAAGTGTAAAAATGAAAAAGGCAATAACTCCAAATTTAGGCAAGGCAGAGTAACGGTTCTTTGCACTGCACTTTTATTTAATGAGATCTATCTACCCACACAGTTTCATGTTAATACCTCTTGTTGAGCTTTGTCCCGGACAAGAAAAGAGGATGGACTGACGGACAAAGCGGCGATTATATGCTCTATATGCTCAACGTTCGGGTAGCTTAACAACCTGGACAATGATAGAATTAACAAAGACAGGAATATTCCAAATATAACAAGGAGGCAATTGGTCCCGAACTATGGAAAGCCTTGACTGTCTTATATTTATAAACCTAATCGCTGTTATATCCAAATAGCAATATATTAAGTCAACCTTTCCCTATACACTGTGCACTCATGAATATATTATGTGGAACCATCTTAATCTAAAGTCAGCTGAACAATACATGATGTCAATGTGTCTGTATATGATGTCAATATATCATTAAACATATGCATTTTTTGAATATATTATGTGGAACCATCCTTATATAAGGTCACAATAACTATATATTATGTCAATCTGTCCTCAAATGAGGTCAGTCTGTCATTATAAGATGTGAAGTTATGAATATATTATGTGGAACCATCTTTATATAGAGTAAACAATATATGATGTCAACGTTTCCTTGTATTATGTCAATCTATCAATATACGGTGTGCATATTTCAGTATATTATGTGAAACCATCCTTATATAGAGTCAAAATACCAGTATATTATGTGGAACCATCCTTATATAGAGACAACTTAGCAATACGTATATGATGTAAATGTATCATTATATGATGCCAATCTTTCATTATACGATGTGCATTTATAAAAATATTATGTGTAACCATCTTTATATAGATCATAGGTGCGTACAGCTCCTTTATAATAGAGAGTTCCCTAGAACTTAGGATACTTCCATCACGGACACTGCTATGTTAATACATGTCTTGTATTAGTTATAAAGATTGTTGACAGGTTATATGGCCCTTTATAAACGGCTGTATGTTGCACATAGAAAAGAAACAAAAAAGATTTTCCAAAAAGTACGAGAACACATCGCTCCTATAATAAATTTAACCCTGTATTTGGTCGCTACCAGTTCAATAACATCACACAAGGCGAAAAAACTATGAAACACTTCATCACAATATTAAAAACAAAGCTGCAGAATGTGATTTTGGGACAATGAAAGATGACATGATAAGAGATAGAATTATATCGGTGTGTCATTCACAAAATTAAGCGAAAGGCTGCTGCAAGTTGGCAAAGATTTGAAATTGGACAATGCAACAAAAATATGTCAGGAATTTGAATATGCAGCATCACAAAAAAAAGAGTTTAATATCGTGCAAGAAAATGCTCCGGTTCATGCAGTATCAAGACCGAATGGACGTATGCCTAGCCAAGGTCGTTCGTTTCGGATTCCTTCATCGATGAATCCAGGTCGCTCTTCAGAAACATCAAAAATCCAGGTCGCATAGGGAAACGTTCACACAGTACAAACTGTGACAGATGTGGAAATAAACATGGTCAAGCAGCGTAGTCCAGCTAAAGGAACGCAATGTAACAATTGCAAAAAATTTAATCACTTGAGCAACGTGTGCAAATCTAGACCAGTAAATGAAATTTTTTATTTATGTGACGAATTATACATTGACTGTGTAGACAATGTGGACAGTCTTGATTGTATAATAGTATAAAGCGGACAGATGTTTACAGCGGTATTAATCGGAAAAAAACAGGCTGTGCAAATGAAGCTAGACACTGGGTTTCAGGTAAACATTTTGCCATTATCTACCTTTAAAGGTTTAGGAATCAAGGAACCACTTGAAAAGCACACATCTAAATTGACCGCGTATAATGGCAATTCTTTGCATAGTAAAGGGCAAGTCTCTTTCCCTTGTTGTCATACTATTACAGGCCAAGTAGAAACTGTCACGTTTCATGTCGTAGACACGAACTCCCCACCACTATTAGATTGTGCATCGTGCTGGAGCTTTAAGCTCATATAATTGGCTCATTCTGTACAAAATGATCATAATCATAAAAATAAAGAGGCATTTCTTACTTAAGAGTCCCTTTGACGGGTTATGCCCAGGTTTTTGATCGCATAGGGTTAAATAGTCCCTGAGGAAATCAACATTCATGTTGACTCAAACTCAACACCAGTAGGATTCTAGTTGCTTTACAAGATAAAGTGAAACAGGAACTTACATGAATGGAAACATTGATGGTAATTGCTAAGATTTCAACAAGAATGGTGTAATAATTTAGTTGTTAGTGAAAAAAGTAATGGCGATATACGTCTTTGTTTAGGCCCTCGTTCGCTTAATAGTTCAATTAAGCTTACACCCTACCCGCTCAAAACACTTGATGACGTATTGCATAAGTATGGTGATGCAAAGTATTTCACTAAATTTGACTTAACTAGTGCTTACTGATCAATACAAATATCTGTTGAGTCGTCATATTTGACTGCATTTAACAGTCCATTGGGGGTATACAGGTACCTTCGTTGTCCATACGGCTTAAATGTATCAAGTTCTTGCCTTTGCACTGGCACTGACAGGTTTCGAAGGGGTGGCTACAATTTTGATGATATTTGTGTATGGGGTTCCACGAGGGAAAGTCATGACCGAAATTTAGTAGCTGTCCTTTGAGATAAAATATTTTGGTCACGTGCTAACCACAGAAGGCTTAAAGGCCAGTCCTGCAAAAATTGAGGCCATTAAGGATATGAGACCACCCACATCAAAAAGAGAACAACAGGTGACTATTATTTCGTGGAACCCCATACACAAATGTCATCAACATTGTGTAATTAATTACAGATAGACACCATTATATTAAGCTCCATGATAATTTACATCAGTGTTAAACAACAGGTCTACCGTGAACAAAATATCTCGAATTTAATAAGGGTTACAAACCCTTATTTAGAATAGTGTGGTTTTCTTTAAGCAGTTATCATATAACTTCCCCGTGGTCGAGGGGTTACACGCTCGTTTAGGAACCGAGAGTTCTGGAGATCAATTCTTAGTTAAGGCAACTCTTCTTTTTTATTTTGTTTTTAATTGTTAAAGCCATTGAATTTAACCCAATAGCCAATTTACTACAGTTTTAACACTGAAAACAGCATTGGTTGTATTATACAAAAACAATTTGGTTTCAAATCTCACAACCTTTACCTTTCTGACATTCTGAGACCCAAACAAACTCAACGCCTTCTGTGCTTTGATAACAGTTATTGCTTATATGATACAATTTACTTGAATATGCCCAAATATCATCTAGGGCAGTATGATAAAGGACGTGTTATTGTCAGACTGTTACGATCGAGACGGTCAGTAGAGACGAATTTGGTGATCGGTGAATATTAAATCTAGCTCTGTGTTAAATTGAATGAACTGAAGTAAGTTTTATGTTTTGATAACGTTTGAAATTTAAATAATATTTCAATTTCAGTTTTGCTTTGCTTTAAACACTCCTGAATATGTCGGAATTGTAAGCATATATAAGTTAAGTACCACAATGGAAAAATCAACAACAAGTAGTCTCTTGAAAAGTGTGAAATTATAAAATTATATTTTGATAATTTTCACAAAAATCTTTCAAATAGATTTGAATAACACTGTTTCACTGTGAAATTATCAAATATATGTTTCATGGATACATCAGTAATCCTTTCAAAAGCATAAAACAAATAGTATGATAGTAAACGGGTGGTTGATAGTAATTTTGTATATGATAATCAAGGGTAGTTTATTTTATGATAATTTGACCATTAATAGCAAAACAAATGTGCCGAACGCCTATGCATTTTGTCACATCTTGTTCAATTGACTTGCAACAAAATTCAATAAAAACTACAAACGAATTAAACATTGTGAGGCATGACTTTGTTATGTCAAAAAGGAACACGGCAAATTTCAGTTTCGATGTAAGAGAAAAAAATAGAGAGAATTTACTTGATTTACATGTAAGATCAAATTGAGTGGTTAAGGTTCTTGACTTGACCCTCACCGCTTTAGGTTCGATTACCAACAGGAACTTAGGATTCTTTCATGCGAGCAAGCTATCAAGATTTCGGAACGTCAATGAATCATCTCGGATGCCCGCTTGTAATGAAATAATGCACGGAGGGTCACCAGAGGTCTTCCTCCACACTTGAAACCGGAAAGTCGCCATATAACCTCTATTGTGTTTATGCGACGTAAAACCTAACTACAGTTACAAAATAGGTAAAAATTTTATGTTGTACACTAACGTTGACTCAACACTTAATGTAAGTGTATAAAAAATGTACATACTGATTTAAGTTCTACAGTTTGCAAATCAATCTTGAACATCATTTTGCCAAAAAAATCGAATAATTTGCGTGAAAACCAACATATTTTGTGATAAAGCATGAGGTATTAAGTTACAACGGTGTCAATTAAAACGAATGATTAATAGACATATGGCAGAGAAAGCAATAGTAAAGAATAAAAATGTTGTACTATTTTACCTTGACGACTTTCCATCTCTGAAACCTCTCTTTCCTTTAACAATATGTCACTGTTAATGTCGCTTACTTTTTGTCGTAGATGACATGCTTTTTGCCTAGTCGTTTCCGCTTCCCGTTTGCAGGTGTTTGCATTGCTCTTATTGGCATACGCTGCCGTCCCATTGACAGCTGTATTAACCCCTGCACCAACTGCTGCACCAACAATGCTTAATCCGCCTGTAGAAAATAGCATAAATTAAAATAAGAGAAAGGTTGTTTTTGTCTAAAAGGTGAAATATCTTACAGCGTTTACTCCAAGTTCCGCTATGATTTCCGCTTGCGAGCGAGTAAAACACGAAAAATTGCCGATTTTAGACTGAATGTTGAAAAATAAGTTCAATAAAGGGATGTTATTGAGGACTCGTTACTTTTATAACTTAATGGCTATTTTTTGTTGTAAGCCCTTTGGTAAAACATATATTAAAAAACAACAACAAAAAAACAAACTATTGTTGACTACTTCAAGCTTTACTCATTCTATGGTTGCATGGGTAAATAAATTAAAACAGTGTGTACAGTTGCTTGAGAACCATCTATATTGTAATTGCTTGACATTTTATTTGTTTTAGCTATTGTTCATGGATATTTAATATCTAAAATCAAATATAAACGGCGTTTTACTTGTTAATGTGGCGGAAATGGGAAAATACACCAACATTTTAAAACACATTGGTGTAATGTTTTGCATTAAAAAACTGTTCACATTTGCTTATTGAATGTCTTATTTAATTCAGTGTGTGTGTGTGTGTGTGTGTGTGTGTGTGTGTGTGTGTGTGTTTGCGTTCGTGTGTGTGTGCGTGCGTGCGTTGGTTTGTGTGTTGGTGCGTGTGCGCATGTTTGTGTGTTTTATTGTATTTTTTTCTATTGCTCTCATTGTTACATTATGTGCTTTAAATGATTAATACTTTTAATACAAGTTTTTCTTTTGTATAAAATTGATTAATTATTTGATTGATCGTTTGATTGGTCGATTTATTTATGTTTCATCAATGTGTACACTTTATTAAATTTATAAAAAATTTTAATAGATTAAATGGTACTATATAAACGGTTGTTTGGAAATATGACCCATTTCGCTAGACAAAGGTTATATGCAAACAACCGTTTATATACGACAATATAACCTGTCAGAAATATTTATTACGAATTTTGTGTCCATCGGACACGGGTGCCCCCACCGCGCCACTGTTCTGTCAATCTTATGACTCTAGGCCAAAAATATTTTGTGAAAAAAAATCGTTTACTAAGTAAAAGGCAAGAACTTTACAAATACTGAATAAATCCACAAGCAAACCCCAAGGTGCATAAGTACACATGCTGACCAACATTCTTGTAAACTTTCAGGCCTACAAGTGAAACACTTTTTGAGCTATACATGAACAAGTTGAAAATTGCAAATTTATACTACTGTAAGTCAAGGGCAATAACTCTAACAAAACTGAAAAAAATCCACATGCAAAGTCCAAGGTGCATAGCTTCACAGTAATGCGAATCGTTATTCTTGTAATTTAGTGATGTTGATCATTATTCCTGTAAAGTTAGTTGATTCTAAATCAAGCACACATGGAACAAATAACAACATAATAACATTAATAACATTACTAAGTCAAGGGAAATAACAAATACAAGATAAATCCACAAGCGAAACCCCAGGTGCACAACTACATATGCTGAGCAACCTTCCCGTAAGGTTTAATGACTCTATGTCAAATCCTTTTTTGAGTAACATGCGGCACAAGTTGAAAATTGCAAATTTTTACTAAGTCAAGGGCAATAACTCTAAAAATACTGAATAAATCCACACAAAAATACCCAGGTGCACATTTACACATGCTGATTAACATTCCTGTAAAGTTTCATGACTCTAGGTCCAATTCATTTTTGAGTTACATGCGACACAAGTTGAAAATTGCAAATTTTTACTAAGTAAAGGGCAATAACTCTAAAAATACTGAATAAATCCACACGAAAATACCCAGGTGCACAACTGCACCTGCTGATCAAAATTCCTGTATAGTTTCATGACTTTAGGTCAAATACTTTTTGAGTTACGTGCGACACAAAAGTGAACGGACGGAAGGACGGACGGACAAGGGTAAATCTAAATGCCCGCCACTAAAGTGGGGGCACAATAACACCAGACTGCATACGTATATTTTTTATGTACATACCATTAAATAAGATGTACATTCTTAAACATTTAAATTCATTATTGCGACATAAAACCCAAACATTTGAAAACAATGTGTATCAAATAAGTATCTACATCTAGCAAATTTAAATAGAAATATACTGAAAAACAACAACAACAAACAAAAAAACAAACAAACAAACAAAAATAAATAAATAAATAAATAGATAAATAAATAAATAAATAAATAAATAATAAATCAAGGAAAAATAATCCTTGTATTTAAGTGCAGATTAACTCAGAATTTAAGAAGATTTATATGTGAAAAAATATTGCTGAGGGTTTATCCAAAAGGAGTGAAATGAATTAAAATACAGAAGGAGTCGCCCAACAAAATCACAAATTAATATCGGGTTTGACCACCTTAAGCATCGGGTATGGCTGCCTGGCATCGTTGGTGAAAAGACTAGATTAGCGTATTGATTTTGGCTTGTGAAATTTTGTTCCATTCCTTATTTAAGGCTTGTCCTAGTTGAATGACGTTTGGCGGTGGCGTCGCCTTTGACGTTTGGTGGTGGCGACGTCTTTTACGCTGGTCCAAATTATCCTAAAGGTGTTCAATGGGATTTAGATCAGTGCTTTTGGCAGGGAAGACATTAATAAACGCAATGCTATTCGCCCTGAGTCCATATGGCTTGGGGCATTATCATGTTGAAAAATTGTAATATTGGCATAAGGATAACATGCATTGCAAAAGTTTTATCTCGGTAGCATTGGGCCATTCACATTCCTTTCGACAAAACGACAACATAAGTGTGAAAGCCATGCGCCATGCATGTGCAGACTAAGACAGAACCCAAATCCAAAAAGGATCTGCACAACGTTCATTTCACCTAAGGTATACTCGGACCCTGCCATCAGCTCGGTGAAATCCTCGACACGTTAGAGACAGGAACGCTATTCTATTATTGTCTAAGCCCGCTTTGGTGTGTATGTGCCCAATTAAAACAGATTTATGGTTGTTATGTGTTCCAGGGGTGTTAGTATGAGTAGCTGTGGCAGTTTGGAAACGATTGCACAGACGGATGTTCCTAATATTGGTGTCTTGGTCACGCGTCTTGACGCGTGTACTTTAACTACGTGGTCGATCTTCTGTACGCGCTGTTGCTTACCAACGTTGCCTAAGGTGTCGATTATCAATAAAAGAAACCCAATGTTCATAGCGACGGGTTTCGTCGTCATACCAACATCAAGCATGCCAAATGCACGTTCGTGTATTTTTTTCGGAATTCTCGGCATATAAAAAATAATTCTTTTCAACGTCTTTAACAATGGGTCCTGACGCGAGTAACGACAAATGTTCCACAACGAAAATATGTGAAGGTTGTGCTTCAAAAGTTTGTTTACATTTATCCGGTAAATGGACGTGTACTTATTTCAAGAGGTGTTGCTTATGTTTTAAAGGTTTATGGATTGTTCATAGAGCAAATATTGTGTTGAAAGTGCTATAATGGTAAATGTTAATTTTTTTGTTTTGTTTGTCTTATCAAGTGTACGCTAAACAGTCATATAATGCAAAATAAATACGTATCATACTTTTTGATACTTTCAGTATAAGTATTATATTCGACATTGAAATTCATTGTTAATGTTCCTTGATGTTTAAAATATGTAATGACACTACTAATGTTGTATTAAAATTTATCTAATGTCTATGCTAGAAAAACTAAAAATAGGTAATTTTTCGCCTCTAAAATAAGTAGGCTTATCACAGTGTATGTGTATGTTTCTCAATGGAAATAGTTTTCATTAGGACTTTAATCAACGAAAACATTTCATATTTCAGGAGACTGGCCATGAAGTGTCCCATACATTTGGCATTTCTACACCTGAGACAAGGACGGTCCAAGAAAATAGGCCAATATTCCAGACTACAGAATGTTATCACGAGGCACAGACAGATTTTTCTTCATTTTCTCAAGAGGAATATCAAGACTGTCTACCATTGAAGCTCGATAACAGATAACAAATGCAATTAAAGTATATAGTTATCTTTTGCGCTGTAAATTTTAATATATTGAAAGACACATTATTCATCAGATATAAATACATAGATTTTTCTCTAAAAAAGGCACACATTATTTTGTTATGTTTTAAGAATATAATTGAAGGATGATACGAGCTTATCACCAAACAGAGAGCTTAAAAAGAAATATTGTAATAAAAATAGCAAAATGTAAACACAGTGGTATTTTGACTTCCATTCAAAATGCTAAATCACTATAACTTACTAATTACGTATATGCCATAGAAGCAAAAGACGACTCATATTTGGCAAATAAGTTCTATTAAGGAAACTGAAACAAAATAATCAAAGTGAAACTTCAATATGAATTTTACTATTTTGGGGGCTAAAAGGAACTTTAATGAATTAAATGGTATTTGAATCGAGCAATTTGTCTTTAGAAACAAAACGCAGTAAAGTAAGTGATATGCATGTTTAAATGTCTACGATGCAAGAAAAAAACGTGTTTTTTGTGCCACTTTCTTGTCCTCGCAGTAGAAATGACAGTATACATATTTGGAAGATAGTAAGATAGTATTTTTGAATGAGAAAGCCTTTTCATGCTATTATAGATATTTTATCGTTTACATTTATGAAGTAAGCTTTGTTACGGAGAATGGATCTTTATATGTAACTTTGCTTTAAGCATGTGTTCCGATATTAAAATAAGAAAGATATTAACAAAACAATCATACTACTGCCCGAAGCATTTATTATAAATAAAAAATAACATTTTAACTATGTTTACACTGAAAAGATACGGTGATCTAGTGCTAAAGGTTTACTCAACAATGAAACCTCGATTTACAAAACATTGGTTTGTCCTGTGAGAAAGCTTTGCTCTTGTGAAAAAGAACTCGACACAGGAAGTTTATAATCCAAAGATCATGAAACTCCTATGTTTACAAAAGTAATTGAAATCATTTAAAATATATTATAATCAAAATAGTCTTTTTCAAATAACAAAACAGCAAAATATCT